AATTGAAAGTCTCACAAATATAGGACCTTAATAGTTTTAAAAGATTAGGGCAAGGGAATAGAAAAGGAAACATAATGAATGGGGGATCAGGAAACTAATCTGTCTAAACCAAAAAGCTTTACCTGCAATCACAAGGCAAGAAGGGGTTCGTATGATTTAACTTCAAACTTCACATGAAAATCCCAAGTATATACCAAATTTGCCTGATTATTCTAAGTGACTCAGAACTCATCCCTGGAGGAGGTCTATTCCTATTGCTGACTATTTTTAAGAGTTATTAATTAGAGATTTATTTTAGAGTTAATTATTAAAGATTTCTTTATGCTAATTCAAAAATCTATCTGTTGCTAAGTCTTTTCCATGGATCCACACAAAACAAGCTGAATCTCCATAAGAGCTATCATATTCTCCTTTAACATTCAATCTAAAACATCCTAGCAATCTATAAACACCGAGATTTTTATTTTTATTTTTTTTTATTTTTGAGTTGGGGGTCTCACTCTGTTGCCCAGACTGGAGTGCAAAGGTATGTTCACTGCAACCTCAAACTCTTGGGATCAAATAATCCTCCCACCTCAGCCTCCTTAAGTACTACGATCATAAGCATGAGCCACCACGCCCAGCCTGATATTTTATAAGATCTTTTAAATTCAAGGACATAAGCACCCCCCACATACAATTTGATGAGCTATACTAGAAAATCTCTAAATTCCTGTTTCTAAGATCTTATTAAATACATAAGATTCCTTTTTAAAATTTTAAAATTGTATCTTATGCCAAAATCTAAAATGTGATTCCTAGGTCTCTGGGTGAATTCATTAACAGGGGCTCCTAAATTATTTCCAATTCAAGCCCATAACAATTTTACTCCACCCACAGTGGTATATAGTGCTATATATGCCCTTACAGAAGCTATAAAACTGTATTCTTTTGCCCAATATTCCCACTACTAAAAATTCATAAGGAAAAATGTAAACAGGAATGTTATATATACAAAGGTATTCAAACTATCTTTATCTATACCAGCAAAAAATAAATATCAAGGTGCCCAAAAGAGTGTGAAAAGGAAAATGGGGGAATTATACCAATTAAAACATATTTTGAACATTAGATAGAAACAGGAGGGTTTAGTACATTCAGGAACCAAGAGATCCACAAATTATTCTAGGCTATGATTGTAATTATAGGTAATATGTAAAAGGCTGGTGGTTTTGTGGGTGATTTTTTTCTCTTCAGATTTTTCTCTGGCATTTTGGTTGCATAATTTTTAAACTAAAAATGGAAAATATAAAGCTATTTCCAAATCACCTAACCTTAACATCTAAACAGAGAATAGGATCCCCCCATCTCCCTCTGGAGAAGCATGTTGCTGAACTTAACTTAGAAATGCCATTAACTAAATCACCCATGGTTGAGATTGCTAAAATAGAAATACTAAATCTATTTAAATGGTCAGAAAGCTTGCTAAATCTAAAACACGCATTTACCATTTACGAAACACAAAATGCAATTTTGCTGATTCATTGAGGGATTTCATGTCATATTTTTGTTTTGATTACATAACCCCCCATATTTCAGAAACAGGTTTTGCCTGATTAAGCTTCTGAAACCAGCGACTAGTGGGCAAAGGTTAGGCTATTCCATTTTAGTGAAATAAAATATCTCTATATCATAAGCACCAAACATCTGATGAGAGTTTAACCTAGAAACATCAAAAGCAAATCTAAATGAAAAGTAGGGAGAAATTTTACAATATTTAGGAAAAGCAGAGATGAGGAAGGAAAAAGCTATAAACCAAAGTAGGAAGATTAACTGGCTTATGTGTGGATTGACAATGGTAAACAATCCTTGCTAGACTCAGTTTCTTGAGTCCAGAATTTCCAAGTAGTCCTTAGGAGCTCATTTAGGAGTTACTATCCTTTGTCCTGTGGCAGAGAGCTGTTCCATACACTTGAGTTAAGAACTTTTTAACAATTAAGTCTAGAAAGCTTCAAATCCAATTCCTAAACATCCCTAATTGCGAATGTAAGTCACAGTTCAATATAAGCACTGTCAGTAAGGAATGGAGATAGAAGCCCATCAGATATCTCCATCACCTGGTCAGGAACATGGTCAGAAATATTACCCATCTCCTGTAACAACCAGGATAATGGACAGGTTTGTACAGGACTGACTTAGAAAGAAAAATGCATACTACCAATTTAGACCAAGCATAAATATTATAGCAGAAAAAGTACCCTCCTCAGCTATTACACACACCAAATGTTTACTACCCCCTTATTCATAAAGGGATAGCAGCAAGAGAGAAGGAGGGATGAATACTGAGCAAAAAAGCAAGGAATCAGAGGGAAAAACAATGATTTCTAAAGGCAATGTATATACCAAGAGAGGGTGTTGGGTATTAATAGCAAAACAAAACAAAAACAAAAAACACCAAAATTTACAAGGAACTGGGGCCTCATATCACCCAGTGAGCACATTTCTTCTTAAAAAAAAGTCTAAATGAAAAGCCAAATGATAATCAAAAGGCAAGTATGTTCTCAGAATGAAGACTCCCAATGATTACAAACTCTCAGTCAAGACACCTCAGACTTCATTGAAGGGTCATAATGCCAATTAAGTCAAACATTAGTGTTGGCTGATCAGGGCACCCTCCCCTGAGTGACACCAAGGTAAAGTGACTTATTCTTGCTCCACTGCATTCCTTCTCTCCATCTTCATGCTGACCATAGCCCTCAAATTAACAATACAGTCATTTTTCAGACTGGCCACAATTGTTTCAGTTTTAGCCTTCTTCCATAAAATATTTTCTTGTCTTCTACCTAACTCCCTGATTCAAACAGCTTCTTGACCATACTGGGGTGTTAGGCCATCTCTTCCACAGGCCATCTATTGATTACAACTAGTTTCATTCAGACGCCAACCCTAGGTGAAATTCAGAGAGCATGATGGATCAATCTCCTAAATACAGATATATAAGTAGTGAAATCATCTCCTTTTAGAAAGAGTTCCATGAAATTAAATAGACTCAAGTGATGAATAAATGTAGTAGAAACCCATTACTTTCAATTACTCTCTCTGAGGGACTGGATAACATCTTCCACTGCAGTCAAGAGTGATGAAGACAGAACCACTGTTAACACCAACATCTGTGGGGGATCACAAAGTCAAACCCAGAGCTCCCTCAAGGAATCTGTTAAGGGTGAATGGCAAGAACCACGAGATTTTTCCAGTCTACAAAGATTTCCAGATATATTCTACAACCCTCCTGTACAGCATACTCAGGCAATTCCTATTCCCAGGATGGTTAAGAGTTTCTTATAATTAAGATCTCTTTTTTTTTTTTTTTTTTTTGGAGTCGGAGTCTGACTCCGCTCCCGGCCACCGCAGCCTCAGCCTTCCAAGTAGCCGGAATTACAGGCACGTGCTGCCACGCCTGGCTAATTTTTTGATTTATTGTAGAGATGAGGTCTCGACTGCCCAGGCGGGTCTCAAACTCATGGGTTCGGGCAATCCATTCACCTCAGCCTCCCAAAGGCGTGGGATTACAGGCTGAGCCATTAAGCCCGGCTAAGATCTCTTCTAGTTTAACCTTTTAAGGTAAAAACTTAAGTTCACACAAATTAAATGTTAAATACAAATGTGAATTCTTTAAATGACTTTTCATCCAAAATCACTGCCTCACAATAAATAAGAAAAAGAAAAAGGCCACTGATCCTCTCTACTCGTTTTGTCAATAGAGTAATCTTGATATTGGGGTTATATCCCCTTAAATACATAATTTTAAGATTATTTTAAGTGTACCATACAAAACACTTTAAAATTAGAAAACAAAGTATATACAAATCTGCAATTTTTTAGAAAATGTGAGATGTGGGACAGTCTAAATTAAACTTTTCAGATAAAGTTTTGAAAAAGGCAGGTCTATGAAATAAAAAGACAGGGCACCGTGGCTCACACTTATAATCCCAGCATTTTGGGATGCCAAGACGGAAGGACTGCATAAGCCCAGGAGTTTGACACTAAGCTGGGCAACATGGCAAGGCCCTGTTTCCATTAAAAAAAAATTTAAAAATTAACTGTGTGGTGGCATAGGCCTATAGTTCCAGCTACTTGGGAAGCTGAAACAGAAGAATTGCCTGAGCCCAAGAAGTCAAGGCTGCGGTGAGCCATGATTATGCCATTTCAATCTAGCCTGGGCAATAGAGTGAGACCCCTACTGGCTCAAAAAAAGAAAAAAAAAAAGGAGCCTACACTCTTGAACTCAACCATTAACAAGTCAATCTAACTTAACAGCATTGAGTCCTTAAAATTCCTTAGAACTAAAGAACTTAAATGAGGAAAATTATATACCTTTGTTGACAATTCTCTTCCATTAATAAAGCAGAGCTGAGAGACCTAAATACATATCCACTTCTTAACTTGGAAAGGATTCCCATCTTATTTCATCTGGTTAACTCTTACTATCTTTTAGTTCTGAGCTGTTAACTTCTTCCAGAGGTCTTCCGCAAATTCAGATTATATGCTTTAGTTATGTACACTCCTGAAAGCACTTTCTACTTCGACTAACAAAGCATTTAAATACACTGTATTGCACCATCTGGGAGTGACTGATACAGTAGGTGATCAAATATTTGTTGAAGAGGTCAAAAGTAAAATTAGAATAGCCTGAAAGTGGTAGAGAAATCTTCCCGTCAGATTAGGCTGCAGCCATAAATAAAGGGTGGGTGGGGAAGAGGCTGGAGGGTCTTGAGTGAGAAAAACCCCATGGATTAGTACATTCCCTCAAGAAAAAGAAAGGCTTTGCGAAGGCTTCTCAAAGCAGAATGACACTTAACAAACAGGACAGTAAGACTGACTGTATGCTGTGATTCACAGTGATCCATTCACTTTTATAACGACATATATGATGGGTTAAAAATTGGATGAGTCAATTTAAGAAAAAGCATACACATTTAAATTTCCTTAAAAGAAAGATTCAAAAACTGTATAAACTTCACCTGTCATGGGATCAAAGAGCTGATTAGCTTCCAAGTCCGTGAAAGTACTACTACAGACAGGACATTTGAAGGAAGCCCGGTTGGTGGAATCTCTCTCATCAGTTTCAATCCTCCTCCTCATGTGATCCAATTTATATTTTACCACGTTAACAAGAGTACGATAATTAATAAAGTAGTAGTTATGGCGCGTGGTTTTCCCATCTGCAGCAGTCTCTACTCTCATTCTGCATTTGATAAACTTGTCTCCCTTTAAATTATTCAAAACTGATCGAAGTTGCTTCCGATCAAACTTGAGCAGCTCCAACATATCCTCCTCTTTCACACAGGCGTTCCGGATCAAGATGTCCAAAGCCAAGGCGTGCTCAATGCCATAAAATCCCCGGATCACATACTTGGCTAACCTCTTCAATGCTGCAGGAACCTCGGTGAGGACATCTGGATCTGCCATCTTTAGCATCAAACTCCAACTTTAAATACACTGAATTCAGAAAAAAAAGATAAAATTAGTTAAGCATAAAGACAGTAATTATTTTGAATCTAGAATAACCAACCTGTTAATAGGAGTTGACAGCTACCACTATTCTTGGAGTGCCACAAGAGTTCTCAAATGTTATTTTAATAAACTTCCAATACCCAAGCATTTAAAAGAACAAGATTAGCCGGGCCCGGTGGCTCAGCCTATAATCCCACACTTTAGGAGGCTGAGATGTGTGAATTGCCTAAGCCTGCAGGTTCGAGAACTGCCTGGGCAACTTGGTGAGATTCCATCTCCACAATAAATCAAAAATTAGCCGGAAGTGGTAGCACGCGCCTGTAGTTCCAGCTACTTGGAAGGCTGAGGCAGAAGGATCGCCAGAGGCCAGCAGGTGGAGGCTGTGGTGGCCGGGAGCGGCCACTGCACTCCAGTCTGGGTGACAGAGTGAGACTCCAACTCAAAATAAATAAATAAATAAATAATACAAATAAAAGAACAAGATTTTCCTCTAGAGTGCACAAAAGATTACACCTAAAAAGTTTTACATTTCTTACATGGTTTCTTTCATGATATAGAAGGTGCTTGATTCTAAAAAGTGACTTATTGCTTATTAAATGACATATTACATCAAGTCCATGTTTTATTTCAGAAGAGAAACACAAAAAAAGTTAAATGTAGTGCTCACGATTCTTAATGATATACATCTTTGAGAATGCTGGAAACACCAAGAAACTTAGCAATTAGTATATCCTTAAAGTACAATTTTTCTTGAGTACAATTTTCTTAAGTACAGTTTTTCTACCAGGATTCTAGGATGGTTTACAGTCAAGCTTTCACAATAAAATCACAAGCCAATAAACACATAAGTAATCACCAGGTGGAGTGTTTGACAAAAATCAGTAACTTGTAAATCTGAAAGAAATTAACATTTAAATCCAGACAGCTTTACCAACCTTGGAAAGTTAAATCTGATAACCAATTAAGTAAAGACCACCTAGTCCTTAAACAGAAGGAAAGGAGAGTGGAAGGAGAGTCCAAGATATCCATAAATACTGCATCCTTTGTAGGACAAAGGACAAGCTAAGCTGATTTCCATGTCATGGCCCAGAAAACTGTTTTCTCAATTCTCATACTGACATATGGTTTAGTTACCTGGACTTTGGAATTCAGAGCTAGACAGCCTGTTTTGGCAGTTGTGTGATCCTGAACAAATCCCTTAAATAACTGCAAGCTGCAATTTATTCTCTGAGCTATAAGGATAATATCAACTATCTCAGTGGGGTGGTTATGATCAGTAAGATGTAATTAAACGACTTGTTTACAAGGACAGCTTCCATATTAACATGTTCCAATCTAAAAATGGTTAGGCTATCTATCCAAACAGGCTACATTAAGTTAAATTTCCCTATTCCAAAGGAAAATTCTTGACATCCCACTAAACTATTTCAATGGGGAATCATATTGTTACCAATATTAATTTCAACTAACTCTCTTACTTTAAATCAGGGTTGTCATACCTATCCAATTTAATACCCCCTCTTATAAGAAATAAGTTGATATCTATTCACAATATGATACTATAAAGAAATTCTTGCCTGGTGTGGTGGCTCACATCTGTAATCCCAGCACCTTGTGAGGCAGAGGTAAGAGGATTGCCTGAGCCCAGGGGTTCAAGACCAGCCTAGGAAAATTGGCGAGACTTTGTCTCTACAATAAATGAAAAAACTAGCCAGGTGTGGTGGCACACGCCTGTAGTTACAGCCACTGGGAAGGCTGAGGAGGATTGCCTGAGACCAGCAGGTCAAGGCTGTGGTAGTCATGAGTGTGCCACTGCACTCCAGTCTGGGCAACAAAGTGAGACTCCTACTCAGAAAAAAAAAAAATCCTAAATAACCAACCTATATACACATTTTTTGGGGAAAAATATAAGGCCCTATATGCAATAAAGGAAAAGTAAAAGGAAAGTCAGTTATAAGAAAACATCTACTTTAGATTGTAAATACTCAGGCATGAGTGTATATAAGGAGATGTACTAATAACAAGTAGATCCGAACCTGTGGTCCTAGAGCCTTCCTGTCACCCCAGGGCTCAAGAATGCCAGGCAAATGCCTGGGTTCAACACCAAAGTAGTGCCATAGCATTTTGTTCTCCCTTTCAATTTGGCCCATGCATTGTACTTGAACCTGATTTTGTTTTTTTGTTCTTTTACATATTCAACAGTTGGCAGAATACAACATATAATTTCAGAAACATCCAACAGGCCAAAGAATGGCTGACAAATGTCAACATAAACTATCTTCCCAGTATTATTTCCTACTACTGTATTCTCCTTCCTCATCCCTCACCCCATACACTCCACACTCCAGACCAATATTTCTCAACATTAGCTATAAAACAGAATCATCTAGAGAGCATCTTAAAAATACTGGTCCTGGGCCCCATTCCCAGAGGTTTTGTTTCAGCTGGTCTAGGAGGGCCAGATTAGGTAGGTATCTCACTAACTTCTAAAGAGTCTGGCCAGGCATGGTAGCTCACACCTGTAATTCCCGCACTTTAGGAGGCTGAGGCAGAAGGACTACTTGAGCCCAGGAGTTTGAGGCCAGCCTGGGAAATACAGAGAGAACTCATAGCTACAAAAAAAAAAAAAAAAAATCAAAAAATTTGCCGGGTGTAGTGATCCATGTCTGTAATCCCAGCGACTTGGAAGGCAAGAATGGACGGATTGCCTGAGCCCAGGAGGTTGAGGCTGCAGTGAGCCATGATCATGCCATTGCACTCCACTAGACAACAGAGTGAGACTCCCAACTCAAAAGATAAAAAATAAAAGAAAGTTATATAGGTGACTCTAATAAGCAGCAAAAGTCCCTGATCACTGCTGCAGGCAAACTGGATCCCTGGCTATTAGATAATCTGCCAATGCCCATCCTGCTGGAAAGGTCCCTGTGCAACTTATCACTCAGTCTGTTTCTTTTGCCTGAAATAACTTAGGGAGCCCTGAAGATTAGAGAAAGGGAGTGCCATGAAGACTGAATCCCAGTTCCACATCTCTTAGCCTGTGACTCTGGAAAATTCTCAGCCTCAGTTTCTTCATATATAAAATGTGATCAATAATGCCTCCCTCATACAGTTGCTATATGGATTAAATGAGATAATTAATGCAAAGTATTCTGCTTTCAGGGCTGGCATAAGAGTTCAGTTAAGAACTGGCATTTATAGTAAGATGCCCTATCTAGAAAAGTGACTCTTACAGCAATATGAGGAATAGGCTGAAATCAGTGAAGGTGGAGGCACTTTGGAAGTATTGGGAGCTACAGTAATAAAACCAAAACTAAGGAAGAGAGCAAAAAACTGCGAGAACAGAATGAAAGAAACTTATTACAGAAACAAAATCGAAAGGACTCAACAATACATTGGAAATGGCATACAAGAGTAGAAAAAAATCTTAAATAGTTCTTTGTTCTGAGCCAATGTAACCAGGAAAAGAAAAGTACTGCCATGAGAAATGAGTAACATCTGAAGAGGTGCAGGTTTGGAAGAAATGAGGTATTTACTTTTGGATGCTAGTCTTTGAGGAAACATCATAGGATATTCCTCTGAAGATGTCCAACAGGTAGCTAAACAAGTGAAACTGGAGCTCAGGAATGAAATCAAGTTGTGCTACCTTGTTCAAAATCTGTGTTCTGAAATCCTCCTTCCTGACCACTGCCTTCTCTCCTCCACCACTTCCACCAACTCATGCTGAATCTCCTATTCAACAAGCTCTGGATTTCTCAAATTTCTTAGATCAGAATTCTCAAGCTGGCAGCCCACATACATTGTTTCATCCAAAGAATGTTTCAAAAATTTTTTGAATTAGTTAACATTTTAAAAATTGTGAGAATTTAGCGGGGTATGGTGGCTCATGTCTGTAACTCCAGCACTTTGGGAGGCCAAGGTGGAGTAACGGCTTGAGCCCAGGAGTTTGAGACCAGTCTGGGCAACACAGTAAGAACACATCTCTACAAAAAATAAATTAGCAGGGTGTGATGGTGTGCACCTGGAGTCCCAGCTATTAGGAGAGCTGAGGAGAAAGGATTATTTGAGCCCAGGAGGTCGAGGCTGCAGTGAGCCATGATCATGCCACTGTACTCCAGTCTGGGTGACACAGTGAGACCTAGACTAAAAGAAAAAAGACAAAAAATTGTGAGCATTCAAATAAACTTCAACTTCTAGCTTCTCTTGGAAATTGGAAATATTGAGGAAAAATGTGAGCCCATGTTCCTACAAGAAACAGTAAGCAGAAGCTGAATAGCAGGTGACACTGTTAGACAGCAAAGGAGCTGGGAGGGTCTTTGGATACTTCTTGTGGAACCTCTCAGGGCTCTTATTCTTTTTTTTTTTTTTTTATTGAGTTAGAGTCTCGCTCTGTTTCCCAGGCTGGAGTGCAGTGGCACCAATCATGGCTCACTGCAGCCCTCAACTCCTAGGCTCAGGCGATCCTTCTGCCTCAGCCTCTGGAATAACTGGGACTTCAGGCATGTGTCACCATGTTTGACTCATTTTCTTTTTTTTTTTTTTAATTTTTTTGTAGAGTTGAGGTCTCATTATTTTGCCTAGACTGGTCTTGAATTCCTGGGCTCAAGCAATCCTCTCCCCTCAGCCTCCCAATTGCTGGGACTACAGGCATGAACAACCATGCCCAGCCTCTTTTTATCTTCATAGTCCACCAGTTATCTTCCAGCCTCACCTAACTATCCAGTCCAAACTCACATGTGTTCTAATCATACAAATATTTAAGGACTACTGTGCACGAAACATGCAGCTGGACAAATAAAGCTGAAAATAATGTGCTGTCTACCCTTGTCAGCCTCATATTCAGCCACACTGGCATACTCTCAATTCCATAAGCCACACATGCTTTCCCTACTTTCAGGCCTTTGCAAGTGCTGGTCCCTCTGCACTCAAAGCTAAGTCCAAATCCCCTTCTCCTAATCATCCTTCAAGTCTCAAACACATTTCCTCATAGAGGACTTCCTAGATTCCCCATAGTAGCATACAATAATCCCCTTTCACGTGTTCCCATAGCTCTCTCCCCTTCTTGTACTTTCTCCAAGTCTATCTCTAAGACCAGAGACTTACTCTTGTTCACCAATGAATTTCCAGCATCTAGCACAGCTAGTGAAGTGCATCCATAAAACTTTCAATACATTTCCTAGGCACGTGGCCCATCCTACTAGCTTCCCCCCAGTTCACTTCCTCCACTCCTGCTTCCACAACAGAAAAAGGCTATTGGACACTCCTTCAATTTAACATGGTTTTAATTTTAAGCAGGGGGTGGCTGGAGCACGTCCGTGATGTTAAAACATTACGCTGACTGCAAGATGGAGAATAAAAGGAGAAAAGAGTGGATGCGGGGGATCCAGGTAGATTATTTCAGTACATTGCTATTCCAGTTCTAGGAGAACTTGCACTCTATACACATAGGCGCGGTTTTCTCAGTTATCCTATTTCACCGCACTCTCCATCCTTCATACACACCGCGGCAGACCCCGCGAAACCTCGGGACCCAGGTGCCCTCCACCAGCCACGTTCTGTCGTGCTCACTCCTCCCCGCTGCGAGATCCCGAGACCCCGAACTCCCTCGGACTCTCCCAGTTGGGTCCAGGGCCACACTCGGCGCAACCGAGTCCTACCCGAGGTCGCACACGGGCCGCTCCGGGGTCAGTGATTCTTTGGAGGACCAAGACAAGAGGGTAACTAATGAGAGGAAGATAGTTAAAGAGAGGGAAGTGAAAAAGGAGGAGAAACCATGAACTGCTACTTCCGACCAGAGATCTGGGAACAACGAACAGGGAACATTTACCGAAGCGAATCCTCGAACACTCACACTACAGCTCCCCTCAGCGATTCAACTACCGGCTTTAAGGAGCCACGCCACTTGTGCGACAAAGAAAACGCCTTATTCCTGCGACCGCTTTGGAAACCACCCGCTACCTTTAACCAGACCAGCCAATCAGCACAGTGAAACCTTCAATCAAGCGAGTCATAGCCAACAAGCCAATGAAATTGAAGGCTCCGCCCTCCACGCCCAGCTCTAATTGGTCTAGAATCCCGGAACAGGCGTTAACCACGGAAAGGCAGTGGCAAGATGGCGTCCCTGGATCGGGTGAAGGTACTGGTGTTGGGAGACTCAGGTGAGCGGCTTAACCCACCTCTGGGGCTCCCGACACTTTTGAGTTATCCAGTAACTCTCCCCGTTCGCCTTTTCCCCCCTAACTTCCTGTTTCTTCGGGCCGTGGCTGAAGCCCCTCTCAAGGTCTAAAGACTACACTTCCCAGAGGACTTTGCTCCATTTGACGGAGTGGTGGCGTCGCGCGGGTGGGGAACGCGGAGCCGGGGGCCTTTGCCCACGCGACTCTTGACATCCGTCTCCTGGGCGACCCCAACCTCTAGTCAATTCCTTTATTAAAAAAACAAAGAAAACTATGAAGGCTTTGAGTATTGTATTGGGGGCTGTGCTAAGGATACAGAAGTTAGTAGTCCCGTGCTTTACAAGAAACTGTTCAGTAAGGAAATGCACTTCCACTTCAAGCGTAGACAAAGAAGAATGACAGTGGCAAGCGCTTTACATATGCCAACTAATTCAGTTCAGAGATCATTTCTGTTACCCCATTTTACAGATGAGAAAAGTGAGGCAGAGAGACGTCAATGGCAGGACCAGTTTGAACCCAGAGTCCATGCACTTAGACACTACTATATTATGCAGTGAAATAATCGGGTGGTGATCCTGTTTTACTCTTAACTGGGCTTCTTGATTTCCTTGTTCTCATTTGTTCTTCACTGGAAACCTATTATGTGCTAGATTGTAGGGAGTAGTAAGAAAATTTAATCCTAGTGTTAAAATTCTCCTTTGGACATCTCGGACATTCAGAACTACATTTGAAATCTACATTTCCACCTCCCACCTCACCGCCCTTTTCCACCACAACCACCAACTCAGCTGTTCTTAAGAACTTGAATAAATGCTAACTTTGCATTTTATACATGTGCACTTCTGGAGTTGATCTTTGAGCATGTGTTGTGAGCAAAGACATCGTGCTAGATGAGTGGAGGTGGAGAGGACATAGTCCAAGTCCAACGTGCTTGAAAACTAGCCTAACAGAAACTATATAAAATTGTGGCAGGGAGAGGGAGGTTAAGAATGTTTTCATGTTGCCTGAAGATGATTTGCATTATGATATATTTTATAGAGAGAACATTTAACATTCCCTTAAGAAAGTTGCTTTTTGAAACTCTAACATAATCGCAATTTGTCAGCTTCGTTTCTTCTACCATGTAGCTTGAAATGGTGCTGAAGTTAATTTAATAAAAATCACTCCGTTTTACAGATGAAGAAAGATGGCAGCCTAAAGGGACTTGGCAAGAGTATCACCAAGTAGAATTTAATATTGGCATGGAGAACTAACACAGTTCTTCATGATATGTTAAGTGGATGTTCTCTCTCTCCTCTGTCATTCCATTTTCTCTTGTATCTAACAGACCTTTTGTGTATCAAATTGTTGAAAAAGTAAAAGTCATTTTACTTTTTTTTTTTTTTTTTAACAGGCATCGTATTAGATGCTGGGGTTATAACTGAAATCAATGCATTATTACATAATGGGTAGAATTGACTGCTACATTGAATGTGGAAGAGTAATCAGGCAATTAGTAATTAGTAAGCTTTTTTTCCTCCTCCATTATGGTTTAGTTGTAGAACAGAAAACACAGCTGAGCCCTCCAGGAAAGTGGTTGATCTTGTAACACATTCACTAATATTAGGCTCTATGTACAAAGTCAATTATTGTCTTATACATTTCCTTTTAATGGCAATTTAAAACATAGCAATCTGATAGCTTAGAATATAGTTTTTACACTTCATCTGCCTTTGTATTCAAACTTCAAAGTTTATTTTTGAATAAAGGTCCTCTCCCTATGAAATTTTTATTGTTTCATACATATATAAAGGCATGACTTGAGATTTACAAATTTCTTTTGTATCCTATAGAAATTTAGTAAGGATCCTGAAAGTCTCAAAAACATACTATTTTCTCTTTGTTCTTTCAGAGACTAGAGATGAGCTTAACACATTACAAACTGCTATATTTAGAGCTGACATTTACTTAGTTATATTCATTTATTATTTTTTTCCTGAGCAAATCAGGTATATTCTTTTGATATACTTTAGTTCTAAAGATGAAAACATAGACTCAGAACCTCCCAAAATTCTTTTTTTTTTTTTTTTTTTGAGTTGGAGTCTCACTCTGTCACCCAGACTGGAGTGCAGTGGCCGCTCCCGGCCACCACAGCCTCGACCTGCTGGGCTCCGGCGATCCTTCTGCCTCAGCCTTCCAAGTAGCTGGAACTACAGGCACACACTACCACGCCCAGCTAATTTTTTGATTTATTGTGGAGATAAGGTCTCAAATCCAAGGGCTCAGGCAATCCACTCATCTCAGCCTCCCAAAGCACGGGATTACAGACTGAGCCACCGAGCCCAGCTCAAAATTCTTAAATAAATGAACTGTTAGTGTTCCCTAGCACTTCAACTGTTTTTACTGTTTAGAGTTTCATCCAATGTTAGCTAGCAATTATCACCCAAAGCAGAGAGCGCCACAGTATTACTGCTTAAAGATTTTTACCTTCATGCAGTAAAAATGTTTATTGCATAAAAACATTTAAGCTAAACTGAGCTCAAGTTTAGCATCAAGCTGATAATTAAATACCTATATATGTGCTTCCAACATAAACTAACCTACATGCCTACAAAAAATCAACAGTATACCCTAAAGGTGACAGTTACCATATACAATGCTGTTAATTCAGAGACAAATATAATTTTGAATATTTAAAAATCTTAAATGTCTGTATGTAAAAATAATAAAAGGAAAACCTGGGGAAATGTTTGATTCAATTAAACAATTACAGGAAATTATTAATATCTTTAATATCTAAAGAGACCATATAAATTGATAACACTAAAACTCAGTAGATAAATTGGCTGATCACATCAACAGAGAATCCCTAGGAAAGACAGGCAATTTGCAAAGAGGATCGCAATATATATCTTTACCAGAAAATTTTAAAAATGCAGTAGCAAGATATGACATTTTTTTCTCTTATCAGGTTAACAAAGATGAAAACCCAACTACATAATATATATGGCTGGTGGTAGTGTAACCAGATCAAAGTTATTTGTCAATATGTAAAGAATTTTAAATGTTTGCTTCTAGGAAGGTATACTAAGGAAAAAATTTTGAACAGAGGTTTAAACAAAAACTTCCCTAGCATAGTAAAAATTTCAAAACACTCTCAATATCTAATAATAAGAGAATGGTTAAGTAAATTGTTATGTCTATTTGCTTAAATATTGTGGAGATATTAAAAAGGTTTATGAAAATTCTGTAATAACAGAAACTTCCAGTCACTAAATAAATATTTATTAAGGCCCTGTTATGGGTACTAAAGATAAAAAAGATGAGCAAAAACCCAGCCCCAATTCTCAAGGAACTTAAAATTAAACAGTGAATAAAACCTATACGTAAACAAGTGTAATAATGTGTTTTAAGTGCTCTGTAGGAAATTGTACAGGATACAGTAGAGGCCCAAAGGGTAGTGGATGGTATGCTTAGTTCTACCTGTGTGGAGTCAGAAAATGTTTTATGACTAGAATGATGCTGAGTCTTAAAAGAATAATTCACCAGGCCAATGGGGAGAAGAGAAAGAGGACAGAGGATATTCCAGACAAAGCAACCTATGTAAACAGAGGCTTATGTTGTTTTTAAATATACTGTGTATATAATCACAATAACCACCTGCTTATAGAAAAACCCTTCTTATGCAATTAAATAAACCTACATGTTGACAGTAGTCTTCAGGTGATTTTTTATACTTTCTACATTATAAATGTAACTTCTTATAATGAAAAATAATGATGGGTTCATATACAGTAATGCACACAAAGAGATGATCTAAAATTTTTATACAACTAGTGATTCATAAAGATTCAATTATGCTTGTCATAACTGAATCCCAAGATGTTGTTAAACGAATGAGTGACTCCACACATGGATGCTGAGGGAGAACTCATTCCCTTTCTTCTTCATACAGTTCTCTGAATGCTACTCTTAGCATTAATACCTAGATTTTCCTGAGCCCAAGAGATATAAAAGAAGATAAATTATTGCCTAAAGTAAAGCGCCCTGATATAGAAGAGGGAGTAGAGTTGTTCTTTTTTCCGAAGGGTACATTTGGGCTAAGTAGTTGGCTGCTTTTTAAAATTTTACTCTGTTGGAGAACTAGAGCGTCTAAATATGGAATTATGAAATGATGAGTCCTTGTCACTGACAATATTCAAAAACAAAATTGAAGACCCTCTATCAGGGTGCCATGGAGAGGAATCTTAGCATTGGTATGCAGGGTAGAGAGATTGCCTCTAAGATCTGTTAAGATTTTAACAATTCTAAAATCGACTAAATAAATGAAATCATTCAAAAGCAAAGGGATAAGTTAATATGAAATTGCCCTAGATCATTGGTTCTCAGAGTGAGGCCCCTGGCCTAGTTGCGTCACTGTCACTGGGAACTTGTTTGAAGTTCAGAATCTTAGACCCCATGACAAACCTGCTAAATCAGAAAGTCTAGGGGTGAGACCCAGCATTCTTCAGGTGATTCTGATGCTAAATTTGAGAGAACCACTGCTTTATGCCATCTTCACTTTATTCAATAAAGCTTATATTGTTGGTATGGCATTTAAACAACCATGCTTTACATATCATTATTCCTCATATTGACAGTCTTACTCTTGCCATAACAGATTTCAGCATGTCTCTTTTTTTTTTTTTTTTTTTTTTTTTGAGTTGAGGTCTCACTCTGTCACCCAGACCGGAGTGCAGTGGCCGCTCCGGCCACCATAGCCTCGACCTGCTGGGCTCCGGCAATCCTTCCGCCTCAGCCTTCCAAGTAGCTGGAACTACAGGCATGCACCACCACGCCTGGCTAATTTTTTATTTATTGTAGAGATGAGGTCTCACCAAGTTGCCCAGGGGGTGTCTCGAACCCACGGGCTCAGGCAGTCCACTCACCTCAGCCTCCCAAAGCGCGGGATTACAGGCTGAGCCACCGAGCCGGGCTCAGCATGTCTCTTACATGACTAGAGTTCTTGTATCTTTTACAGGTGTTGGGAAATCTTCACTAGTCCATCTTCTATGCCAGAATCAAGTGCTGGGAAACCCATCATGGACTGTGGGCTGCTCAGTGGATGTAAGAGTATGTATCTCTTATAATTTAGTTTTTCATGCTACATGATCAAATCACAATACTATTGTCAAGATTAATACCACTAGCTGGGATTTATTAAGTTCCTCCTGTGTGCTAGGTATTGTGCCAAATGCTTTACATGTCTCTTCTTTAATATTTTTAAACTACAAAGTATAGATGCAGAAACTAAGGCATAGAGAAGTAACTTGAACAAATTCACTTGACTCATAAAAAGCAGAATCAAGATTTGAACTGTTTGTCTGATGCCATAGACTTCAGTTTTAATCATTATGTCATATATCTAGAGTTTACCTAACATGCTCCATCAGTAACTCTGTCTAAGCCTGTGCCAGTAAGTCTGCTAATTTTTGGCTAGAAATACAGTGTAAAGGCTCATGTCTAGGTTATCTGTTCCATCTCATGTGTAGGAGTCAGGTGCAATTTTTTTTAAAATTTTAAATTTTAATTTTAAAATTGTGGGGTACAATTCAGGGTTAGGTATACAAATATTCATTGTGCAGGTACCTTTGTTGATGAAGTATGCTCCCCCTTCCCCAGGCAGATTCCCACTACTGCCAATCCCACCTCCCTGCCTCCCCACCCCCTCACAGTTTCCCACTACTCTCAGTCCTTTTCTTACAGTATTACAATAGTTGTTCAAGGTCCACTTATGAGTAAGAACATGTGATACTCAGTTCTTGGTTTCTGTGAAAGATCACTCAGTATTATAGACTCTTTAAGTCCATCCAGGTTGCTGTGAAGTTCATAGTTTTGTTCTTCTTTATGGCTGCATAATATTCCATCGTGTATGTATACCACATTTTTTTAATCCAGTCCTCTATTGATGGGCAGCACGGTTGGTTCCATGTTCTTGCTTTTGTGAACAATGCTATGATAAACATACGTGTGCAGGTATCTTTTTTATAGAGTGATTTGAGTTCTTCTGGGTATA